CCTCTTAAATACTCTCCAGGAGAAAACACAAGTGACGTCACTAATTCAGGAGAAACCAAAACATGTGACGTCACGAGTTTTCCCCCTCGGGGTCCAGAGACTCGACACTTTCAGTTTTTAGCATTCAGTCAGTTAAATGAGGTCAGTCAGTCAGTCAAAGAGTCAGTTGCTCAAGAAGCTTTATTGATGCTGTCAGAGGTAGTCGTGCACGCTGTGTCGCATCCTCTCACTTACTATTGACCAAAGAACTGGTACCAAGGAAGTTATAAGAGACTAGGGTAAGAAGAGAGTGAATTAAGATAGATCAGGTTTATTAGAAGGTACACAGAAAAATTAGGAACCAATAAACTTACCCATTAAAGTAATAATAATAATAACAACTATAATAATAATAATAATAATAATAATAATAATAATAATAATAAAATATAAATAATAATAATAATAAATAATAATAATAATAATAATAATAATAATAATAATAATAATAATAATAATAATAATAATAATAATAATAGGTGTCCTGTAGTTCAATTGGTAGCACACTCAGCTCACACACTGAGGTCCATGGTTCCATCCCGGTACCCCTGGAAACATTAGGATGTGTTTTCTTAGGACAGCTGCTATCCATATTCACCTATCATTAAAATAGGTAGCCGGTTGGTGTGGGTAGCATCCTGAGAACAAAAATAACCTAAGTTGCTGGAATTGCTCTGCATAACCAGGGGCTTTCTATATAGTATATCACTGATGTCAGCTATGGTCCTTATAAGTTGCATCATGTACCTGTAGAATTAAAGATTATTATAATGATTCATCGTAGTGTATTAAATAATTTTTGTAATTCCTATGACTGCTGGAAATTCATGACAGGATAAGCAAGTCATTACTGTTAATTCTGACTCGATTAATTCATAGTTTATTTCTGCTTTAACTAGCTTATATAACAAAATGATTTTAGTTCCTGGATCCATCAAGTGCCTCTGTAACCACTTGCCTACCACCCAGAGGCTGGGTACGAGGCCTCTGATGAAACACAAGTAGTGAGATGTGTTGACCACACAGAAACAATGAGATGTGATGACCACAAATACCATCACTCTGTTAACAGCAAGCAGCTAAAAACAGAAAGTGAGGAGCGAGAGTGTAAACATTTTGTTTGACAGCTGTATTTATCGTAGCACCGGCAGCCTCCCACTGAGGTAAAGTGACCCGAAAAAAAAGAAAAAAAAAATCACCGTCATTCACTCAGTCACCAGAAGGCTACTAGGAGCATAGTTCAGAGGACCCTCCGATCTGGAACATCCTCTATGTTAGGTACTCACCCCAAAACCCATCCTGTGGGCTGTAACCACCCCCACACCCATCGCATGGGCGGCAGTCAAAAGATTACAGAGGCACATAATTTGTCCGGGAGTTGAGCCCCAACAATGTGTCAGCCACACAAGTTATAGCAATAATGGACTGTTTACATACTGACTGATTCAGATACAGCAAGAGATGATATAATTACACGTAGTTCATGAATTCAGTTGCACGGACATTACAGAGAAGAATAAACACCATATCTAGAACTGCCTGAGAATACCACCAGGTGGTACTTCATTGGATTTTTAATTGGGAAGCGTAACTATGCTACCCTATTATATGAAACAGTCACACACGGGAAACTAAAGTTAGCTATGTTTCCCTGGCATATTCCGTTACCTTATTCTGTATGATAGTTGCTTAGTGGGAACAAAAACTAGCTATGTTTCCCTGTCATAGGCCATTACCCTGTTCTATATAATAGTTGCTTAGTGGGAATAAAAATTAGCTGTTTCCCTGTCATAGACCATTACTCTGTTCTATATAATAGTTGCTTAGTGGGAACAAGAACTAGCTATGTTTCCCTGTCATAGACCATTACCCTGTTCTATATAATAGTTCCTTAGTGGGAGCAAAAACTAGCTATGTTTCCTTGTTTTATACTATTAGACAGGATGGGTTACATGGTGTTGCAATGCGTCACTCAGAGCTGGGAGACTTCAGTAGGGCAACTAGGAATCGTTAATATTCCAATTAAGGTTCTGCATCTTCCTTTCAAGGGAAGAGGAATGGAAGTGATTTGATGCAGATGAAGGGCGCTTGATCTGGGAAGAATTAGAGGTGTCGTCCTCTCGCTCTAACGGAACCTGATGTTGTCCCATTCCCCAGATGCTGAATGTCTTCTACGGATTTAGATTTTTCCTATGAATGCACGACTTCTACGACTACTACTTCTCTACTACTACTACTACTACTATACTACAACTACTGCTACTACTACTACTACTACCTGAGCTCTCTTAGCCTCTCCTGAAAGGACTTGCTCCTTAGCTTCACCAGGTGTGGGTTCCATTCAGGTGTGTGTCTGCGTGCGCGCGCGCGCCAGGGTGCGGTGAGTTCCACCTGGCCGCCCTCCCCCGCGGCGGCTACCACAAACAGCGACCAAAAGAGAAAGTTCTGCTCTCTGGTAACCCACGCTTTCTCCAGTTCCCCCTACCGTGTGTACATCTACCGTGTGTACATCTACCGTGTGTGTAAGTAGTAGTGTATTTATGTGTGTCTCTACATCTTCCGTGTTTCAGGTGATTCCCTGTTCGATGTTATCGTGCACGACTCACAAATGAAAGGACCCGAGTCAAAACCCAGAGCGAGGGAAGAGTTGTGAGCGTCTTTACATCCTCTCCTCTTATTACAAGTTATTATTATACTAATAGAACAAGTGCTAAACCTATAGGAGTTACACACGCATCTGGAATGAAGAGAGAAAACAGGTTTGAATAATGGGAAGGGATCAGAGCTCCTCATGAGGTAATTTCACTGTAGGGATGTTTCCTGGGAAAGGATCCAAAGACCACGGTGGAAATAAACCACACTCCTTGGCTTACTGGGGTTGTCTCGGGTGATCAGTCCTCCTGGGTTACTAATCTGAATGAAATCCTCTCCTAATTCACAAGGAACTAGTACCCTGTACCGTGATTATATGTTTGTTGTGTGAGATAGATTATGTAAGTATCTTTGCAAGTACAGTGGTAGAGCTCTAGATAATTCACTTGAGAATTGATTCCCCTAGTTGAATGCCTGTGGTCACAAGCGTCTGGTCATTACTTCTCAAGTGAATATACCAGAAAAATGATACAATATATGACGGATTAATAAGTAAAAAGAGGTAGAGCTCGTGGTGTCCTGTCTTTCATCTATCATATACTATTTCATAAATTTCAAGTGCTTACTCTTATTTCCTCCCCTTGCAACCATTGATCTACCAAACTGTTTTGCAGTGTGTTACTGTACCGTGACTATCGCACGCTCTCTATATAGTAAACTGTATAGAATGTCACTGAATCTTACCGTGATTACATATATAGACAGTCCTAGGAGTCATCGCCCCTGCGGCCCGATCTCAGACCAGGTCTGCTGTTGGTACTCTCTTAGTAGCACTATCTCGGATAAAGTAATTGTTAAGAAAAACTGGTCAGGTTTTCCCTTGAAGTAGGTTAGCTCAGCGCCTGTAGTGAGACGAGATGAGTTTTCCAACCTCCTAGCCCTGCCGTACCTGCATTTGAAACTAGGTATAAGAAGCTAATTGTGTCACTGAATGTGCTTATCTCAGCCCTTCATAGTCGTGCGGCTGTACGATTTACATGTTTGGAACAACAATCCCGTCTCATACAGTCATACAGTCATTATGTTAGAGTTAAGGTAAATTTTCTGTAGGAGATTTATTAAAGACGCAGTTCGCCTGTACCTTAGCATCAAGACTGCTTTATTATCAAAATAGTGATAAAGTAAACTCATTGTATATTTAATATAGGATATAAACCTTTCGGAATATATACACCTCTCGGTTGCAGTGAGGTTGAGAGTGGAGGCGGTGTTGAAGAGATTTAGTGAGATTGGGCGGTTTTGGAGGGATTTAGAGAGATTGGGCGGATTTGTATGAATTTTGAGCAATAGTAGTGGTTAAATTACAGTTATTTAGACCAATGAGGCAGGCGATTTTGGATTAATTTAGAACAGTAAAGGCAGAATTGGAGGGGTTATAAACTGCATGGGCGTGAGTAGGGGGTTCGACAGAGAGAAGGGAGGAAACGAAGCAGCATAGTTATCCCTCAGTAGAAAACGAGTCCTGCCGAGGGAAGAGAAAACGTGCACCGCCTGAGGGGTAGCTCACCTAATTCTGGCACACTTCACGCCAGTCTTTCCCTCCAGGTGGTCTCAGTAAGTAAATTTATTCAGGTATACACAAATACAGTTATAAAGATTATCATACATAGCAGCATATGTGTAGAGAACCTATATAACCCCAAAAATCAGACAGAGTGACTTATTTCCATCAGGGAAATAAGTCACTCTGTCTGACTTTTTTGGGTTATCCTAGGTTCTCTACACATATGCTGCTATGTATGATAATTCTATGTAACTGTATTTGTGTATACCTGAATAAATTTACTTACTTACTTACTTACTTACTTAGTTTATTTAAGTACAGGTCCACATAAGTGGTTATCGTAATAATAATAATAATAATAATAGGGCAAGGAGTATGTATAGGGCAAGGAGGAATAACATCTTGTAGGAGTGAGGAAGAGCCAGTTGTGAGTGTGGGGGAAGTTCGTGAGGCAGTAGGTAAAATGAAAGGGGGTAAGGCAGCCGGGATTGATGGGATAAAGATAGAAATGTTAAAAGCAGGTGGGGATATAGTTTTGGAGTGGTTGGTGCAATTATTTAATAAATGTATGGAAGAGGGTAAGGTACCTAGGGATTGGCAGAGAGCATGCATAGTTCCTTTGTATAAAGGCAAAGGGGATAAAAGAGAGTGCAAAAATTATAGGGGGATAAGTCTGTTGAGTGTACCTGGTAAAGTGTATGGTAGAGTTATAATTGAAAGAATTAAGAGTAAGACGGAGAATAGGATAGCAGATGAACAAGGAGGCTTTAGGAAAGGTAGGGGGTGTGTGGACCAGGTGTTTACA